AAAGTAGGAAAGGAAAATGAGAAGCACAGGGTAGGGGTTGAAAATTTAGACAGGGTTGCCAAAGAAGGCCTCACTGAGAAGGCAATATTTGAGTAGAAGTTGAAGAAAGGGAGAGTGAACCATCTAAATATGGAGAAAGAGCACTCTAGTCAAAGGGAAGAGCAAGCACACAGGCGCTACTGTGTTTGAGGACCATCATGGAGGCCATGCAGCTGGAGTGTCGTGAGCGAGGGGAAGGTAGGAGGAGATAAGCTTAGACCAGGTAGGCCCTGTAGGTCCCAGTAAAGACTCTGAGTGAGATAGGATTGAGAAGGAAGATTGGAGCTGAGGAGTGGCATGATATAACTTATGTTTAATAAGATCAGAAGCTGCTGGCTGCCATGTGGAGAAGAGACTGAACTAGTACAGAGGCAAAAGCTGTGACAACAGTTATGGCACTACTGAAATACTCCAAGGAGGGATAATGGTTGCCTGGACCGGTGTGGAAGCTGTGGAGGTAGGGAAAAGCAACTCAATTCTGGATGTATTTTAAAGGTAGAGTCAAGGATTTGCTGATGGATATGGGTATGAGAAAAAGAAGAGACTCAAGGACGACACCAAGGATTTTGGCATAAGCAACTAGAAGAATGGGGATTCCATTAACTGAGACACGGCATGATTGTGGGGTGAAGAGGTTTAGGGTGGGGGCAAGGTGATGAGGAAGAGGATATCTGGAACTCAGTTTGGGATATATTAGGATGGGGGTGCTGATTAGACATTTAAGAGACGTTGAGTAGGTAGATGGATTCATATATTTAGAGTTCAGAGTAAAGATGAAAACTGGGAAGTTATGAATGTGTATACAATCTATAAAGCTTTGCAACTGGATGAGATTACTAAGAGAATGAGCATAGTCAGAGGAGAGGGCCAAGGACTAAGCCTAGAAACTCCTTTGTACAGATATCAGGGAGATGACAAGGAACCGCAAAGGAGACAAAAAGGGAACAGCCAGAGACAGGAAGAAAGTCAGGTGGGTCCTGAAAGCCGTATGAAGCAAGTATTCCAAGTGCAGTGACAATATGTATCAGCTGCTGCTCAAACGTCAAGTAAGATTAGGACTGAGAGGTGAAGGTGACAGATTACCTTGAAAAGAGCATGACTGGCATAGGTCAAGAGAGAATGGCAAAAGAGAAGTTGCAAACACTGACTTCGGACAACTCTTTCAAGGAGCTTTGCTGATTTGGGAAAGAGATAAAGGGGCAGTAACTGAAGGCGGAACTGGGGTGAAGAAAGAGTTTTTTTAAGATGGAAGAAACAAACAGCATGTCTGAATGCTAATGAGAATCATGTACTAGAGAGTGAAAATCAATGAATCAATGGAGAGAGATGTATGACAAGAGCAGCAAATGGAGAGGCAGAACGTTCTGTGATTCAGAAGGTAAGTTATACATCTTATCCCAATTTAATCCCAGCACTTCTCAGTGATACAGTGCTGAGAGTCAGGACTTGTCTGAGAGAAAAGGACATATTATCCAGATCCATATGGGCTAAAGACAAAATGATTATTAAATTCTTGTTTTGAATTGAAATTTATCACTCAGTACCTGCTCCATGGCATATGATGAACTAAAAACCCCACTGCTACTGCTGCTGGAACTGGTTGAGGAATCTGCTGAGCTCCCAGATGGGGTCCCGCTGCCTGAAGTCTTTACTGTGAGGACTTGTTCATCGGAAAAGCCCAGTTGGTGGAGTAGTTTTTGATCTTTATTCACTGTCAGCTGCAAAAAGTGGTTTCTTAATTATTGAGGGGAAAGGAAGAGGAAAATATTAATATCAGGTTAAAGTGCCAGAAACTGTTTATTTAAACCTACCAGACTATCATTTGTAAATATCTGTATATTATCCACAGGAGAGCACAACTGCTTGGCTATCTTCCACCGGACACTCCCTATGGTTTCATTACTGTGAGCCTATAAAATAAAATTAAACACTGTTGTGAGATCATTCATTTACTTATTCATTTAAACAGCTGTTACTGAGCACCTACTATATACCATATAAGCACTATTCTGGAAGCTGAGAAACACAGCAGAAAACCCAAAGTTAAGAATTGCTGCTTTTGTGAGGCTTTCCCTCTGCTTATAATTATAGGCTTCTATTCCTACTC